TTTTTTTTTTTTTTTTAAAAAAAAAGATTCCTTCAAAGTATCAGCCCACAAGATATTGTCAATCTGTGTGTCTTTATATTTTTTGCTTTATTATATTGAGTAAGCTTCACCTCAGACATCCATGTCTTTTTTGTGATGTTAGGGGGAAAGCATTAGTCTTTCACTGTTAGTGTGATGTTAGGTAAAGGCATGTATCTTAGAAGGGAAGGGTTGCTTTAACATGGAAACTGTTAATATACATTATTGTTAGAATAAAGGACAAAAAMCACATGATCCTGCATCCCAGTAGATGCAGAAAAGGAATTGGGACAAGRGCTAGCACATTTGTAATGAAACCAAATGAATGAATTCCAAAACAAGGTGTAGATGGGAATGAAAAACTACAGCTACTACCATAATTATAAGTAAAAGACTGAATATTTCTCCCTAAAATTTGGGTACGATGCAATATACTTAGACCACTTTGATTCAGTACTGGACTAGAAGTTCTAATCCTGTTTTTTTCTTCACTGTAATATTTRTACAACTGAGTTTTGGGGTGTGTGGGAAATACTAAGGAACAAAAACAAAACTATTCATCTAGAATTAATCAATTTTTATATTATGTTTTTTTTCTTTTTAGTACTGTGTGTATACATGAGTGTTCAGTAACATGCATGTAACATAAAATGGATTTGAGTTCACATTTTATGTTTACTCTAATCTCATTTCTTACCATTTTCTTCCTTGCTCATTGCTACCCACTGAGTCATCTTTCAGTTCTTAGAACAGGCAAGTACCATCCCCCATGTCTTTTGCACATGCTAATCCTTCTATTGGAAGTTTTCTTCACTGAATTTATTTTGTTTTTATGGTTAGGGTTTCAGATATTGAGATATCTTAAATGTTAYTTTTTGGAGAAGCATTCCCGTATCTTTTTATGTAAGTTAGCTTCCTTTCTGTGTCTTGTTTAAATGCCTCTATTATTTTCTTAATTTTCTGTCTCCTTGTTTTTGCCTGTTTCTCATGGATGTACACTGATTGTAATTCCAGCACATAGTGCCTAAGCTTCTAATTTGTTTAACAGTAAACAAAAGTGAATAGTATCTTGATTTTTCAACATCATATTCTGATTGTTTTGCCATATCATTTCTATGATACATTTTCATTTCATAGACAGGGTTTCTATTGTCATGATTCAAAACACATCTAACACATTCAGTTTCATTGACTTGTATGAGAGATTAAACTTACCCATTTATTAATTTAAGAAACATTGAAGTTATCTGTGAGAGTAGTTTATTCTATATTAACTTATGTTAACTTTTATTACTTAAATATTTGTAGAATTTATATCTTCATGAGGTCATACATTGAGCTTAAAGGGGAGGGGGTATAAGAATGCTTTAATAAAGACAAACCATTAAATCCAACAATTCTAGAAAGTGACAGAATAACAGGCACAAATTGTGAATATTTTTAGAATATTTTTAGCTCCTTAGATGGAAAATGTAGACTAATGAGCTTCATCAAATACTGGTATCTAGTGGTTTTTTTTTTTTTAATGTACCATGTAAATTGAGACCATTGTATATGCATAGCACTAGAGAAAGTCGGTTATTTGTCTTTCAAATAACTGCTGAGCCTGCTGCTTTTGTTTTTTTCTTGCCAAGTAAAATATTACCAGGATTTGAATTCTACTTCAGCCTCTTACTAGCTTTGTGATTTGGAGTAGCTTAAACTCAATTTCCTCATCTATAAAATGGGATAATAATAGTTCCCTCATAAAAGGCTTATTAGTATTATGTTTGGCACATAGTAACTGCTCAGAAGCCGGTAGCTATCATTAGATAAATTTAGTAGTTCTTGGTCCTGGGAGTGTTTAAGAGTAGCAATTGTAAAGGTTTCTTAGGCTTCAGGGCATTATCTGCAGGCACTGACCAGCTCTTTAATAATAATGTTCCTCTGAAGATGTTGGCAGCATTCTTCATTGAATGTGCCTGTTTACTGACTGGGTTTTTTCTATACCTATACCAAAAATGACCTAGCTGAAAGGTAGTGAAGTCTCATTAAGTTAAATCCTACAAGAGGTTACTGTTTGCAGCATTCTTAAATGTAGTCATGTTTACTTTCTTGTTCCAACTTTCATATAGAAGGTAATATAGCCCAGTGAACTGACAGAGGAATGTGATTCCAGCAACCCAGAGGCTGAAGCAGGAGGATTGCCAAGTTCTATGCCAGCTTCAGCAAATTAGCAAAAAATTTTAAAAAGGTCTGGGGATATAGCTCAGGGTTAAAATCCCTGGGTTCAGTCCCCAGTACTGCCCCAAGATGATGATGATGATGATGATGATGATGATAATATTTTTCAATAAGGGAGGAAATGTCAGTGAAAATAGAGCAATTCTAGAATTTCAGTTGTTTAGAAGATAATGTTGACAAGGGGCTTGCCTGGGGTTTGGCGTCCAAGGTTGGGGATTGGGGATTAAGGAAATTCCCAAGGTCCAGGCACATTCCAATAGGAGTACTAATATAATTGCAAACTTGGATATTTTTAAGTTCATATGTGAATCACTTCCTTCTAGGTATAAATAGAAAAGTGATTGTTTTCTATTCCTCTGAGAATTTCTATCAGAATTTGATAGTCAAGGTCCAGTCTGTGTCCAGGATCTTTAGTTTGGGTCCTTGCTTAGTGCCTATTTCCCTTCTATCAAATGGGATAATGCCTTCTGTGCTCATTTTGCTAAGTGACAAATATTCTTTGGCAATGGAAAAGCATGTAGCTTATTTAATGATTCCTCCCATTTTTTTCTGTTTTCCTGTATATTTAGTAGATCACTGGTGGAGATGGCATGGTAGCCYAGAACTACATCTGTCACGTGTGTTGCCTCTTAGAGGTGTTTGTTTTAAATTTGTACGAAAGACTAGACACTTTTAGATTATTGCTGTTCTCATTCTTTAATTTCTTTTGTTAGAAAACCAATACATGCGTATTGCAAAAGAATTAGAAACTATAAATCAAATGAATGAAAATATTTCTAAATGCATAATCACTGAATTTATTTTGTATAATTTTAAAACAATTTCAACAATGCTGAAAATACATTGTTTCCTATTTTAATCACTTTATGTATATCATTTAACCTAACTTAATATTCTTCTATATTTTAATGACTACATAGTATCCCATGATGTAATAATATTCCATGATTTACTTACTTATTAGTTTAATTGTTTTTACTTTGACATTTAATGGTATTTCTGATTTTTTTTCGATTAGAAATGTTGTACATAATGAACATCCTTTTTTTTTTTTAAAGAGAGAGAGAGCGAAGAGAGAGAGAGAGAATTTTTTAATATTTATTTTTCAGTTTTCGGTGGACACAACATCTTTATTTTTATGTGTTGCTGAGGATTGAACCCAGCGTTCCGTGCATGCCAGGCGAGCGCACTAACCCAGCCCCATAATGAACATCTTTATAGCTAAATATTTCTACATATTTTCAGTATTATTGTTTTTGTTTGTTTGTTTTTGAGACAGGGTCTCACTCACTTGTTTAGGGCCTCACTGATTTTCTGAGGCTGGTCTCAAACTTGTGGTCCGCCTTCCTCAGCTTCTTGAATCACTGGGATCCTAGGTGTGTAATGCTGTAGTAAGCTCTTTTTCTTCTTGTTTTCTTTTATTTGGATAAATGATAGACTTAGAATTGCTATTGCTATATCAAGGAACATAAAACATTTTAAGGCATTTGATCCATGTTTTTATTACTTTATTGAGGTGTAATTGACGTACAATAAGCTGCTCATGTTTATGGTATAAAACTGGATAATTTTTGACATATGCACATCCATGAAACCAACACCACAATTTAAAACAGCACATATTTCTGATCCCCCCCCTTTGTACCTGTCTTCTTCAGGCAAAACCACAGATCTATTTTCTTTCACAGTAGATTAATTTGCATTTTCTAGAATTTTATGCAAACAGAATTGCAGAGGATATGTATCTTCTTGTCTGGTTTCCTGCACTAAGGATAATTACTTTAAGAATCATCCATGTTTTTATTATCATTAATACAGCATAGTATATTGTTGTGGAATAGTAAAATTACATTGTRTGGATATGCCATAATTCTTTCGCCTATTAGTGGGCATACATATTTCCAATTTTTAGCTATTAAAAATACAATAGATTTACTTCAGATATTGGAGTATGTCTTTGTACAGATATAAGGCATAAGGCATTTAATATTTCTTACCAGATTTTGTGTTGGAAAAGGTACACTGTTGGTTATTGATACTTTTCTCTTTTCTCTCTTGATTTTTTTTTTTTTTTTTTTTAGAGAGAGAGAGAATTTTTAATATTTATTTTTTAGTTCTTGGCGGACACAACATCTTTGTTGGTATGTGGTGCTGAGGATCGAACCCCGGCTGCACGCATGCCAGGCGAGCGTGCTACCTCTTGAGCCACATCCCCAGCCCTTTTTTTTTTTTTTTTTGACACTGGGTTCCATGGTGTCTCCCAGGCATGTCTGGAATTCTTGGGCTTAATGTGATCCTCCAGCTTCAGCCTCCCAACTAACTAGAACTGTATACTACCATGCCCTGTTCCATTGCTGGTATTTTGAAACTGAAAAAATATGAGGGAAACTATAGGTCTTTTTTTTTYYTYCYTTTTTTTTTKKKGGAAATATATATATATTTATGACAGATTAAGGATTTTTTGAATGTAACAATTGAATTGATTTAACAGAACACTCTTAGAAATTTGAAATTAACAAAGGTTAATATGCAGAACCTAGGAACTATAAACATTTATTAATTAAGGAAACATGTTATCTGAAAAGCAAGGATCTTTTGCTCTCCTTTGATGAACTAATGTTCATAAGTAATTTATATTTTTCTGTCAAATGGCTCCTTCTGCATTGAACTTGAACAAGAAGAGTTTACTGAACTTCACAAAAGATATTCCTGAATCTGGTGTAGAATAGTTTCCAAACTATCTTTTCCCTYTCCTTAAGATGCACAGTTGACTGAAGGAGGACCTGAGAAGGCTTCAGATGACATCAGAGGTGCTTTTCAACAGCCTTCTTGATTTCCTTTCTCAGAAAGCAGAGGCTCAAACCTTGGAGACAGACGGTGAGAGTATTTTTCGAGAGTCCATAGGGCTTAATATTATTACGACTTTAATATGTTTTACATATTTTTTCTTAGTTGTACATTAGCTTAAAATCACCAGATATGTGTTTTATCTCAGTGAAGTACTTCACCAGGAAATGTGKTTAAAATCCTACCTTTAAGGAACTTACAAAGAAAGAATAAATGAAAATAAATAAAGGTAATCAAGAGTAAAGGAGGTTAAATGCCATAAAAATATATTCATGAGAATTCAGTGAGTGAATTACTACTGGAGAGAGGGATTTTGGAGCTTGAAAGAAGAAATGGTATTTGTGTTGATGATACTTAATTTGTTTTTACCAAATCCACAGAAAATGGATAGTCAATATAAAAACCTGAAACAGAAATCTGGTTTCAGATAAAAAGTTAATTATTGTTTCAAGGAAAAAAGAAACTTGTTTTATTATTGTGGATTCATTGTCGTGTAGGTTTGTGATTACTTTTAGAATTATGTAAAGTGGTTACCTMTTACAAGGCAGTTCTGGGGAATGATAAAGCAATTGAATTAGCACAAGTAGGTGGGCAGTGAACTAGAGATGAGTGAGTAGTTAATTCTACTCAGATTAACACGCCCGTTTTCTAGTGTAGCTACAACTTAAATAAATTTGTCAGATCTTACATTCTTGGACCTTAATGCTTTTTATTCCTGGACAGAAGCAATTCATGTCAGTCGGGAAAAGGGATAGTGGTTGTTTATGTTCCCATAATTACTTGTGCAGAGTTACCTTTTAACCAGCTAACTGAAAACTTTGATCAGAAGAGAGATAACAGATACAGCATCCTAAAATTCACTGTTTTAGTTGACCATGATGTTTCAAAAAGGGGATGGTAACTTTGAACCCAATTTGTTCTTCACCTATAGCCATAATATGCTTGTCCAGTGACAAAGCTCCCCTTTTCATTACTATCCTGAATTATCCTGATTAAATTCAGAAAACCCAATAATAAATTTGTGGGTTTTGTTTGTTTTGTGGTACCAAGGATTGAATCCAGGAGTGCTTAACTACTGAGCTACATTCCCAGTCCTTTTTATTTTTTGAGATGAGGTCTCACTAAATTGCCTAGGGCCTCAATAAGTTGCTGACACTGGCTTTGAACTTGTTATCCTCCTGTCAGCCTCCCAAATTGCTGGGATTATAGGTATGTACCACTATGCCTGCCTATGAAGTTATTTTAATTGCTTTCCTTAATGCTTATATCATCTTATAATTTCACCAGAAAAGTTTTTAAAATATTATTTTTAAAAAGACTGCCTAAATCTACTAGTAATTATTTGGTTGGTATTTGCTTTTCACATTTTCCTGTATTTTTTCCTCTAAGTTGGAACTTACATTAACTAGGTTTATATTTGTAAATACTACAAGTTCATTGATTGAAGTATAATTATGCATTAATGACTTGCTGATAGTCTGAAATCTGCTTTATATATATATATATATTATTTTTTTTAGTTGTAGTTGGACACAATATCTTTATTTTATTTATTGTTATGTGGTGCTGAGGATTGAACCCAGCGCTTCACACGTGCTAGGCAAGTGTTCTACYGCTGAGTTACAACCCCAGCCCCTGCTTTATATATTTGATGAAACAGTGAATATTAATCTCCTTTCTCAACTTTAAATTTTGTTAAAGTGAACATTATAACAACATGCATTCCCATGAGTCGATATAATTAGTTTGTTCTTAATTTGTAATTTTCTTTGTTTTACCAAATAACCAGAATGGTAACTAACAATCACTTAGTGATAGTTGGATAAATAAATCATAGATAGTCATCCAGGAAAGATATATAGCCAATGAGTTGCTCTTATAAAATAATCAAATTTAGATATTTCTTCTAGATAAAAAGGATTGTTTAAGACATAAAAATGAATTGATTTTTCTATATGCTTTATGTATATTCAAAATTTTTCAAGATTTTAAAAGCTATGAATATGTCAAGTGTATTTTTTGTAAAACGAATTTTTTTTAAATGGTTCCTCATTTTGAATGAGGARCCCATGTTCAAATAAGCATGGAAGATGTTGGGGCAAATATGTCTTTTCAGTAGGTTTTTTAACATTCAGTGAACCATGTCCCTAAAAGTAGGATCTGGTAGACTGGTTATGACAAATTGAAGACTTTGAACTAATGTGTTTTATGAGTTTTTCTATAGTTTATTGTATTGTTACACTCTAAAAACACTCATTTTTAAGAACAGTAATATCCTTTTGAGTGAGAGAACATAGGGGAGGTTTGGGGGGAGAAAAGAAAAGAATTTGGTTAATGAATATTACAAGCCATATAAAACATGAAGTGTTTACATAGCTTTTGAGTATCATAGGCAGCCAGATTTTCCTTGCTCCTTGTTAGCTCCCCTTGAAAGAAATAATTACCTGTCTAGTAACTAACAAAATAATTCTACCCTTTATTTTATTTTCATATTTTGTGGTGCTCTCTGTGTTTCAGTGTATAATATTTATTAGCCAATGTTGACAAAAATTGATGACAAAAAAGAAGTGAATATGTTGGGTAGAATTAGATAATTGACCATGAATCGGTTTAGCTTAAACTCTTGAATATACTGATTTTTTCCCACTGAAAGGAGTTTTTATGGTTATGTGCCATAAGTTTTCACTGGGAAGAATTCCTTTTGGGGGGGAGGCGGTAATGGAGATTTAACCCAGGGGCATTCTACCACTGAGCTACATCCCCCAACCCTTTTGTGTTTTATATTKTAAGACAGGGTCTCACTAAGTTGCTTAGGGCCTGGCTAAGTTCCTGAGGCTGGCCTTAAATTTGTGACCCTGATTACAGACATGCACCACCACACATGGCTTGTTTGTATTGTTGATAACTTTTTTTTTTTGGTGTTGGGCGGGAGGTGGGTACCAGGGATTGAACTCAGGGGCACTCAACCATTGAGCCACATCCCCAGCCCTATTTTGTATTTTATTTAGAGACAGAGTCTTACTGAGTTGCTTAATGCCTCACTGTTGCTGAGGCTGGCTTTGATCCTYCTGCTACAGCCTCCCAAGCTGCTGGGATTACAGGCGTGCGCCACTGTGCCCAGCCTGTTGATAACTGTTTTAACAAATATCTTGAGTGTTGAAACTTATGTTCCACATAGAGTTATCTGTCTATATAAAGATAAAAAATAACCAGTGACTCAACTGGCTTTAACAGTTGTGTTGCCACATTGGTAAAGTCAAGTAAATGAACTCATGGAAATGCTTTCCCCACACTTTAGAAAATATTTCTCAAAGAACATGGGATACAGTCCAAGCCCCCACTGGTTGTCTACAGCCACAGAAAGTACAGCATTCTATACCTATAGTTATGTTTCCTATACCTGTGTACCTATGATAAATTAGTCACAGTAAGAGGTTAACAATAACAAGAGTAAAATTGACTGGTTATAACAATATACTCTATCAAAAGTTACGTGAATGTGTGTGTCTTTCTCTCAAAATATCTTACTGTACCGTACTAGCAAGGGGAATAAAAGTGTGGAAAGAAAACCACTGATAATTGGACTGTGTAAAATTATTTGTTTAAGAAATAGCACTTTTTAGTAAGTGTTTAAACTTCTAACTCAGGTTTTCAGGGGGACCATGGTACTAGAGAAACCAAGATCAATCCTTAATCTTATTAAGTCACCTCAGTTGGAATTAATTGCCATAAACCAAGTTGGCTGTCTCATTGGTGTTTCCCTGGCTTCGTAGACAACCTTGGTAAGAAAATCTGGATGCTTGGCTGAAACCAAGTGTTGTCAATTTCCAACATTGCTTCCATCCCCTCCTAATTCCCTTTCTCACAGCCAACTGTCTTATTTCACAGCCTTGTGATTTCCTCTTAACTGATGTCCTTGTCCACATCTTTCATAGCCACCAGATCTTCCTAAAAGTCCAATTTATTTGAGTAACTTCTCTAATCAAAAATGATGTAATGCTTCCAATAGCAAAATGCACATAGACAACAGGCCTTCCTTAAGTCAATCCTAACCTACTGTTGCAATGGGAAGCATTAACCTGATTGGCATTTCTTCACAATTTGGTATCTTTAAAGAATGGACTCTCCTTAAGTCTTTTACCTAATATTTAAATTAATCTACTATTTTGGGTAGAAAATCCTTACTATACCTTCATTATCAACTCATGTTTTTTTCTCTTTCATGAATGGTTTCAAATTCAATAATTTAAATAATTAAAAATTTGCTGATCAAACTGACTATTCACTTTCACTTCTTATATAGATCCTGGTCTTTCACTTAAATTAACAGTGGTAAACCTGATATTCTCCTCTCTGTACATTTGCCCTTCATCCATGTGGTCTGTGGTTTGCACATCTGAAATTGGTGTGATTCTAATGGAAGAGCTTATTATGCATGTTATTTAGATAACTAGAATCTTCCCTTTCTGGATTAGAGATAAAAACATTGATAATTTTTAACCCCCATTGAAGTCCGTTTTTGCATTTATGTATAGGACTGTTCATAGTTACACCAGGGCAAACTTCTACCTTGAAACTTCTAACTTGAAATATCCTGTTGTTGCCCTCCCACTCTGCACCCTCCCTGCTATATTGCGGACTGTCTAAGTTAGTGCATCTCAAAATATCTGAAAGGAAGGTCCAATTTTTGTTTGCATGTTCTTATTTCATTTCATTATTTTAGTAACTCATTATTTTTAGTAACTTTAAAAAAGTACACTTTTACTGTACTTTTTAAAAGCCTCTATCTATGACAGATTGGGAATTAAGCAAAAGACATAGAATGTAAGTCCAAATTGTTCATTAAACTCAACAGACATCAAATTACTTTRTCACATTCCATAAAAGTTTCTAATTACTGAAAATTTTAGTCCTGTGAGATTATAGAAAGTTTCAATAGCAAACTATGCTGCCATGCTTCCTTTTTTAGAGTGATGCTCCTCTTATTATTCCCCAATGAATGCTAAAGCTTCTTTTTCAATTGGTGAAAC